ACCGCCCCCTACTGGCCTGGCCCAATGGGCCCCCATCAGGGCAGGCCAGCTGGACTCCACCCATGCACAAATTCATGCACCAGATCTCTAGTTGTTTATAAAAGGTACAAATTTTGTACAGATCATGAATCTTCTTTATCACACTATGTTAAGATGATGACCTAATGTGTGCTGATAACAAATGAGTAATAATCAGCTCCAGGAAACCTCCACCTCTGGAATATTAATGTAACTCTGTGTGTGTTTATGTCTGTGTGTATCTCTATGTGTTTCTCTCCTACCTGTCCCCTTTAACTCCTTCCGCCCCTCCTTTTAACTTCAAGTCTCTCCAATCTCTGTAGTGGATATTATTATTCTGTTGCTGTTATTTTTCTTGTTCTTTTTCTCTGCCCATTGAGTTAAAATGATTAGTCTTGGTTACCCTGTTAGAAACTATATGACTTCAGTTTCTTAATTCTTTCTGGCCAATAGATTAAAGATAGGATTTCTCTGGGGCACTAGGTAAATATTGGCTCTTTCCCCTCTAGTACTTGGAGCTTTTCCATTTATTTAGAATGAACCCCTAATCAAGTCCTATGATCAGTAGTCTTCCAAGATGCGTTGAGCATCCCCTAGAACAGCCTGACTAACAACAACCCCAAATTACAGCATGACCTACCTCCTACACACTCTCCTTTCCCCTGCCACCTTGTCACCTGGCAGAAGGCTCACCTCTGTCATTTTCTGCAGCTGCAAATAATAAACACAGCTGTCATGGAAAGCAAGCCCTGCTGACCCCAACTTCCCAGTGAACTGCAATGGAAGCGGGGGCAGCAGGTAACACATCAGATTGCATCTGACCTTGCCCAGCACCACCACTAGCATCCCATCACATTCTACAAATTATTACCTGCACCTGCAATTTAGTCAGAGGAAAAAAATGGACTATTTCTTATTACAGCATTACTAATGAGAACCTACCAGGAAAGGAGATCTGAGGCCTTTAGGTCCTCCTCTTACTGATTATCCATGAAACCCAGATCATAGTCTTTGCAAGTATGGGATAGTCCAGGTTTAGAGCCAGCAAATTCTCTATCACATTCTACAAATTATTACCTGCACCTGCAATTCAGTTGGAGGGGAAAAATGGATTATTTCTTATTACAGCATTACTAATGAGAATCTACTAGGAAAGGAGATCTGAGACCTTTAGATCCTCCTCTTACTGATGTTTATCTATGAAGTCCAGATCATAGTCTTTGCAAGTTTGGGATAGTCCAGGTTTAGAGCCAGCAAATTCCCTGGCCACCACATCATCTGTGCATCTATATTTCTCATTCTTTCCACTTTTCTCTGAAAGTATAATTCATTCTAGATGTTTTCCTTGGGGGGAACATGTAGAAAGAAGAGGGGTAAGTTCTATGAAACTTATTTTGCTTGTGTAAGGATGTATCCTGTTTTGACTGTCTATTAACTCTGGAATTCTTGTTTCTCTGTCTTGTCTGAGTGCCTCCTACAAAGGCATTGTCAGAAAGCTGAGGGATGGTCCCCAGGTAGCCTGAGACCAGTTATTAATAGACCATTAATCAGAGACCTGATGGTGGCTGTCGTCTTTGAAGGCTATGTGACTTAGCATTTGGCACATGTATAGGGAGTCCACCTACTTTATTAGAAAGAGCACAGGTTTGGAGAAATGTAAACCAGGTTTCTAATTTAAGCTCTATAGTCATTGCGTCTGTTTTATAGATGAAGAAAATAGGACCAGCAA